GCTGGAAATGCCTTTGCTAAAAACTAATCGGCACGCCTCCCTGTTCATGTTATCTGAATCATTCAAATCGGTTGATCCGTGTTCCTGAAATCGTGGACTAAAAATTATATCAGAATATACATACGCACACACACATCAGTTTTGCTGTGGTATGCCAAAATCTTCTAAACGTAAAGATATGCAAAATTTTAGATTTTTAATTTTTTTGTGGCTACTATAATTTATCCTATCAGAGGATAACCCTTTCCACTCGCGAATTGCAAAATAAATGTATTTTGCCGCCGGAGCAAAATTAAAATGAAAATACAAAATTAAATAATGATTTTTGAGATACATTTATAATACTATGTGGAGATTAAATTTACTCTTGAGAGTGAAGAGAAAAGTAAGAAACAATAGTAGAATTTTATTGGTACTTTGTTTCTATTACATCATTTAAATATACATACTTTAATATTTTGAAGTTATTTTCAGGGTCGAAAATATATTTTTCTTTTCAGAAAAACTGCATAAATTTATTAGTTCCCAAAAATTAAATAATTTTTCTTTAATCTTTATAGTTTTAATAATTTAATTATGATAGTTAGATTTTTAATCAGATAGTTTATGATAGATAATAGTTAGTTTATATATATATATATATATATATATATATATATATATTCATTATATTTCCACATATATTTTCAAAATTGTAATATACAAATTTCTAATTTGATACATAATGCACAAATTATATTTCTTGAAATGAAAATTGTTATTGAGAAGAATTAGTTAATTAAATTGTATAGAAATTCTTTCTCTTTTTCTCTTCACTTTCCAAATTTTGCCGCCCTGGGCACTAGCCCCAACTGCCTCTGCTGGTGATTTCCACTCCATTGTTTAATATATTTTGCTTTAATTTTGTTTTTGGCATAACCATTAAACTTTTTTATTTAATTTTATCATATCTTTAATTCACAATGTTGGATTTTAATTAATTATACTTACCTTGCTGCTACAAAATTTGAAAATAATAGATATTCTTGTGATGATTCCAAACGTCTGCTACCGCTGGCTTATCCATGCGTTGGGCAAGTTCATCTAGCCGCTGCTTTGCTAATGTGTATTCTGGCATTATTTGCATACCGTGCATTTTATGATGTAATATAAAAAGCAAGCCTATTATGATCACGTTACATCATTTAATACTTATTCCATCGCTTGAACGTTTTGTATTGAGAAACAATAAAGAGTAATTGACGTAAATAATATTGAATTTTAACGTTTTTCAAATGTAATATTCATGAAATAGAATTTTTTCGTACTTTGTTCGTATCTACTTGATGTTTAATAAACGGCTTATTACAAAATATATGTAAACATCCATTTTTTAGAAAATATATCTCTGACTTCAATTCATTTTACTTACACTTGATTACGAATGAGTAGCTTACCATAGATAGACATGTTTTATTATATCGAGTGATTGAGCAAAACGAAGTATAATTAAATCAGCAATTACGAATTTTTGTTTATTTAGTTTTATGTAGATACTAACATGTAATTTTATAATTATTGCAAGTATTTTGTATCTTGATAGATACCAAATTTTTATATCATTCGATAACTCTATCTTATGCCCATATATATAAACTGCTCCATGAGTAACTTTCAAATTATGAATACTTGTGATTTCAAATCTTTTAAATAAGGATCTTTCAAGGGCGATTATGTTTAAAATATTCAAAATATCAAATATTATTTATATTTTTTAAAATGATTACGTGATAGAAGCATAATAGAATCTTATACTTTCGATTTAACATGACACTTTGTTTCTGTTTTATGTGTGTATTTGAACCATGTTTGTAATTGGTAGCATGTTTGACCTAGTTTTTAGTTATTATGTCAGAGAAGAACAGCCTCATTACCTTATTTTGCACACTTTACGTTTTAATGTCGAAATACTTTGTAATATCTTTTCAGTCTTTTTAATGAGCGTTCCGAATTTTGTATGTACAGATGTGTTATATACAGCCGGTGTTGCATTTCACAACAGAAAGCAAGACTAATGTTGTCAGTATTTGTACATTCGACTTCAATTAATATCTATTAAAGTCTAACTTCAAATCTGTTTGAATGTTTTATCATGATAGTTTTACAAGTTTTACCTTAGTTTTTTGTCTAATTAAAATAAATGCATATCTATTCTGTTGTGAGTTCTATTCTGTATCTTTCTTATTATCCCTGGTGATAAACCTGGTATGAAACGTCGACTTTTTACTCGTCGAGAGCAGTCTTATTTGCTAAGGATAGGAAACAAGAGCTTTGACAATGTTTTGCAAATAAAAAATCTTTTTTAATAATTGAGTTCATGAACTACTAAACGATATAGAATAAAACTAAAAACATTAAATCGAAGTTATGTGGGCAAAATTATTAAGCAGTCCTCGCGCATTTCATACAACTTTTATTTGCTCCTTATAAAATATTTTTTATAAAATTTACCATTAAAAGTAATAAATTATTCTTTGTAATATTGAACTACTTCAGGATATTCTTAGAACAATGTCTAATATTACGTCTTTTTCTTTATAAATTTAAATTGTATTTCAATAAATTTGATCTAAATTTTAAGTATTTTATAATTTTGATTATAATGTTGATATTTCATGTTTATGAAATATATAAAATAGTTTTAACCCTTCTCGTACACACCTTAGCCCAGTACCAAATAGAGGCCAGTACATTTTTAATGTAAAAAATTTAAAGACTTTAAAAATGCTCGGAAACCAGCGATCATGTGGAAAATGGTATTTTTAAAAAAAATCGTAACCCGGTAAATTTTAACTATAACTAAATTTTTCTTCCGCGAAAATAACAAAAATAGGACAATATTGAGTGCTTCAAAAAAATATTTATTTCTAAAGGTGGCGTTGGGGTCCAGTAGACCCAATAGACTCAGAAGAGTTAGTATAAGAATAGTTAACATTTGTATTCCTAGCTGAGTGCTTTTCTTGTATCAACTTTAGAATTTAAGACATAATGAAAACATCATGGACATAATTTTCAAAATATTTTTGTAATCGGGAATGAACGTTATTATAAATCAATCAATAACTTTAATAATAAATTTTATTGAAATATGATCGGAATTTTAATCAGTGATTCACTTCGAAACCATGCGCTGGTTTTGTGGAATCCATGATTTTAAACATTAAATCGTCGTTATCGTTAAAGTTATCACATTATTCAGATAAAAATTATTTATTAATGTAGATGAACATATTATCACTATGCAAATCCGTGGTTGTTATATTATACTATGGTCGGCGCACACTTCTATTAGTGAAGTTACAGCACGCTGCTCTACACTCTAGCCTTGAACTTACAAGGCCAATGCGCTTTGCCCGTGGACACTTTCTTAACTTGATAATACTGCGTCGATAATGCATTCTAGTTAATTTTATCTATTTGTGCAGTTTTCTTTTATAATTTTGTCTCGATTGCTACTGCTTGTTGCATTTCATGGCTAATTACAAGTAGCCATCGAGGGTAGGAAAATTTAATTTAGAAATATTTAATAGCTAAATCATACTTATGTATGAAAATTGATTAAAAATAGTTCATGTAAACAATTTGCATGGTACAAATGACACATAAAGTTAAAGCGACAGTAATATGTAATACATATTATTATATCTTTATCATTAATCTTTATATATTCGTATATGGTAGCAAAGACTTGTGGTTTTTGTTTATTAACTTCCCGTAGGGTAAGCTATTGTAATGGGCCGAAAATCGGAATTGAAAATGTTTACATTTCTCGACGTTTTGAAGGTTTCTGAACATTTTGGCATACCTCAGAAAAAATGGATGTGTGTGTGTATGTGTGTATGTATGTATGGATACAAATTTCCAGTCACGTTTTCGGGCGCACGGATCAACCGATTTGAATGGTTCAAAAAACATTCGATTCCTATTGATAGGGAAAAGAGCTGATTAGTTTTTGGCAAAGGCAGATCCAGCCGTTTCGGAGATACGAAGCAAAGAGTGCAGAAAATAGAAATCGACTTTTTGAGAGAACGAAGTATCCAATTTGAATGATCTAAAAAACATTCAATTAGTAATGATTGGGAGAAGTGTTTAATAGTTTATGGCAAAGGCAGGCCCAGTCATTTCGAAGATACGGAGCTAAATATGTAAAAAATTGCAGTTTTTGAGAGAGCTAAGCGTCCGATTTAAATGATTCAAAGAACTTTCTGCTTGACTTAACAAAATAATTGATTTTGGAAAAAAAAATTTGTTTAAACTTTTTCTTTTTTTTTTTTTAATTTTTTGTATATCGAAAATAATTCAGATTTTATTTTTAAATCTGACTAAAGTTTTAATATACTTTAAACAAATAATTTTAACTTTTCAATTCAGTTTATATAATTCTTATAAATATTAGACAATGTTACAAGATTTATAATAATCTATTTGAGAACATTCAGTATTCCTCGAACATTTCGTTACGGTACGGGAAGTTCCAGCAATTTGCCTTAAGGCACGATGCCATAATTGCCTCAAGACAGAATTCCATTTACAGCTAGTTAATTTATTAGTTTGTTGATTTTGTTGTCAAGATGTTGCCAAGGTACAATTTTCGTACTAAAATCAAACTAGCGTGGAACGTCTAGTTTCTTTTGTTTAGTTAAGTTGATCACTTTCGTGATCATCAATTAGGTTAGAGGATTTTTCTTTCTATAAAATTTAAATTCGTTGTTATTGAATGAAAGCAATGGAACAAATTGTCATCAAAATATACATGTAAGTTGTTCACACAATTAAATTTATTATTCTTTGCTGCATTCTTATTTTATAAGAAAAAATATTCTCAGTTGTCAATTTTGATTTTTTTGTTTTCTACGGCTGCCGATACTTGCTAGATTAGATTTAAGGTTTATTTTCATCATTTATACATGTATATGTAGAAAGTCATGGTAGTTTTAAATATTTTTTCTATTTGTTCTCAGGTTGCCGGTGGCGAGCGACTGCAGCACAGGCCCTAGCGTGCGTTCGTCCAGCTCGAACCCGTTGCAAGCCAGCGCGAGCACTAGTGCTACTATGATGGCTTCCAGCCGAGTGCCCAGTCCGCCTCTGCAGGAGGTCAACACACCCGTAGCTGAGAACTGGTGTTACACACAGGTGAGCTTCATGACGATTGGCGGGTGGAACCATCGACTGGGACAAAATAGGGATCAAGCATGAAATTAATGAAAATATGTATTTGATAAATTGGCTAGACGGAAATGGATGGTATATTGAGGGAACATTTTGTTGTTGTGAATGGTTTATCGAACTGATTTGGTCAATGAATTTGCAAACGAAATTCGTAGCATTTAGTATTTTTTTTTTTTTTTGAACAGCAATCAGAACTAATGGGTTCTATGAGCTGTTGTGAGTAAGATCTTACAAACTACGTTTGTTTTATTATAGATGGCAACCCAAACAGTTGTCACATCTCTGTATGATAAATTTTTATTACAATCTCTGTAATAGGGCAAGTATGGTGCAACAATGCCGGTGAGAACTCTTTTCACTTGGAAACATATTGCTATCTATATTTCCAAGTGAAAATCGTTGTCAATGTTGCCTGACAACAGGCTGCTCGAAGTGGGAATCAAACCCGGGACCTCTGAAACAAGTCCCGTCGCTCTTAACCGCTTACCTACGGGCGAGCCCAGCATTTAGTAATAATTTGAATATCTTGCTTTTTTCTGGTCTCAAATTCAAAGCCTTTTTATCTCTATACTTTTTTAATTTCTGCTGATTGTTTCGCTATATATCATGATGCTATAATGGTTTTCAATAATGCAATGCTGCGACTTGCAACCTTACTCTGGTTTTCAAGATTTCTAAAACAATACTTAGTGTTCTAGATTCAAAACCCAATGTTAGAAACCCAGTCAATATCGAAATTGCTAGCTAAATTTACTAACAATAAGTATCAGTTAATATGTAGTTTGTAAACAACTTCATGCTTTATAACTAACGTATCAGTATTTTAGGATCCAAAGCTAAGTTTTAGAATATGATTTTTTTCCAAATTATAGTTAAAGGGGGTTGTTCTTTTTTTATTTTTCTTTGTTTCGGTTTTGAGATTTTTTGATATTATGAAAGCTAAAAACCTTAGAATTATTTAAAAAAAAATCATCTCAATATCTATTTTTTGACGAAGTTATAGATATATTTATCTCTATATGCATGATCCTCTGAAAGCGTTTTTTTATCGCTCCGCGAGCTATTGTATGCCAGCTGCCTCTTTTTCATTATAATACCTCATGCACATGACCTTTTTAATGTGTCAGCATCTTTGAAAACCATGGTGTATTTAGTATATTAAATTAAATGGTGTATTTAGTACATTATATTAAAAACTTTAAATACGTTTTTCTCAAATTGACTTTTTTCAATGCGGTGCCACAAATTAAAAAAAAAAACTACAAGTCGGATCGACTTGCATTTTTTTTAATTTGTTCACCACTGCAATATCTAGTCTCCCTACCTTAAACAACTTGATAACATTACGCAAAAAATTTTTGCGAAGCTTCTCGCCCCAAAAAAGGCCTTCTTTGACACTTTTTTTTAAATAGCTGCCATTTTTTTCCTTCTTGCTTTTTTTCTTTCATTTTGGTAGGGTGACTGGATTCAAACTTCTTCTTCAACGTAGTTTCTTTTTTTTTGTTTCGGGCGATGCACAACAGATTTATCTGTGGCATCGCAAAAGAGATCGATTTTGCAAGACCGAATTTGGCGCCCCCTGGTTAAAAAATGACGGCGCAAAAAAAAGAAGAAAATCACGTAATGTTCTATGACTTTGTAATTTTTGTTTAAAAAAAACCGCATGTCTCTATGATAAACACATTTCGAGAAAAACAAAAACAAATATTTTGCATTTTTTGTAACAAAAAAAGAACAATCCCCTTAATAAACTGAAATAATAAATCAACCCCATTTCTGAAATCATATAGAGTGCAAAAATTGATATTTATCATTTGTTCCAAGTTTGACCAAGTAATTTTAATTTCTGTCCTTGAACAAGAGTTTCGAGATGCGAGTAAACTAGAGCTGTACTTGAGTTCCAACCCAATAATAGATCTGATTACCGAATCTTGTACGAATCTGATACATACTGGTTGATCCAAATATTTTGTATCACCTATAACTATTTAATTAGGAGAATAATTAATAGTTTTCCATTTCTGACAAAATTCGATCGTTATCATCTTCAAGTTAAAGCACATCTATTATTTGAAAGTTTAGGACTTAACAGTTCTTAGCCCTCGTTTTGGCTTTACATAATTTGGTTATTACGTTTAACTTAACCAAGCTCTCAATATTTTTCTTGCATTTGCTACACTGTTTGGGATATCATCGAATGTTTTATATATTGCCATTGTACGTTTTAGTGTAGTGTTTGAGGATCTCGTCGAGTGCGATGATTTTGCCCGTAATCAAAGCAATATCTGCATTTGCTTGTGTGTGTTTTAATATGTGGATGAATCAGTAACGGCTCGTCGCTTATTGGACGTTGACCCTACTATATACTACGGACGGGTTGAGTTACATGGAGCAATGATCTGTTTGCTGCTCACAACATAGAACTTACCAGATTTAAGTCACTTATTTGTAATCAGCAATAAAATATACATAAACCTAAATTACTTATTAACAAACTATGACTAAAGGGCTCGTCCCTTAGAGTAGTAATCTAGTAAAGTTTGTGGATAGCAGATTTTTAACTAGTTGGTTAGGACGATTTTGTCAGCCTAGTCTTGTACTTAGATGCAAATCTTCTGATTTTCTCTGTCACCTTATATATTGGTGTCTTGGTGGATAAGCCAATTTGAAACAAAACAAAATGATCGACTATACAGTGTTAAATTCCTGTAATTTTTTATTTTTATTGAATATCAGACTTATAAGTAACTAGATGACCCGACAGACGTTGTTCTGTACTCATGTCTACAATTTTTTAATATAATATACTAATATTCACCTTTTTCTTAAAAATAATAATTATTGTTTTTTTAAATTACTCTTCGCGGCAAAATGCATACATATTTATAATATGAGCGATGTTAAATGTAGAACTGCAAAGAAGAAATTATATATTGACAAAAAAAACTATACTGAAAATGTAATATCCGAATCGTGTGTTGGCACCCCCATATTTTAAGTGAATTAATTTGTCATATTTGTTTATATGTGTATCATTCAATCTGCCATACATATACTGTATTTTATATTATGTTAATTTCTGGCACATCTCAGTTGCTTTTCGGCAATAATAGTGTAAATAATCATAAAATCATTATACATATTCTAATATTGTGTGGGTTCATAAGTAAATTGAAATTTTTGGCAGATGATAGTTTTCATTTATTTTCAATGCAAATAATGGCATGTCGTTTTTTCCAATTTTTTTCATTTATTTCTACAATATTGCACTTGCACATACATCCCAGTACTTTATAATCACATACATCCTAGAAAATTTCCTTAACAAACTTCAGAAAGTTTTATCAAAGTCCAAATAATAGTTTAGGAGGAGTATACAGTGAGTGCTTGTAATTTAATATGAACTTTATATAATAGCAATAAAGCTCAAATTGATTCTACGTTTTAGTTAGAAAATGTAGAGAAAATGCTTGTATGTTTGTATGAGAAAAAGAAAAGGGCTGTTTTTGGGGTTTTCCGGCAATTATTTGATTTTTTCTCGTCGTAAGAACCATCCTTGGACTTCAACGAACATTTTAAAAAAGAATTGGCCAAATTGGTCCAGGCGTTGTTGAGTTAGGCGCTTACCAACACATTTTGCGATTTATTTTTATATATAACTAAGTAATAAGAAAGAAAATGATATTCAACAATTCTATTCTTTTTGAAGAATTTCTATTAATTCCATATATATTCCTTGGAACATGGTTGGCATGTACTATTTTGATCAACACCTTTCAATTTATTTCAATCGTTTTCTACGCCAGACATGCGTGTTTGATACTACATGATTTGATACGTTATAAAAACTAAAATAAAAAATTATTCTGTATTATTAAACATTATTTTAATATCTTTATTTATTAGAACATCATTTTTTTTAAATGATGTCTTATTATTTTTCATTGATCATTCTTATTATTTATGGACTACTTAACTTTATTGATTCTCTTTTTAATCCAAATCAGTTTGTTTTTTAAACATTATCTATTCTCAGCAATAGAAATATGAATTTAGTTCAAGCGTATACATAAGCGGCCAGCTAATATCAGTGCTATACGTTCCGCGTTTTGCGAAAGTGTTCGATTTCACCTTTGCGTTCCTTCCGAGCGAAAGTCATCGCATCGCTTGAGACTTTCTTGTGTAGGCTAATAAAAATTGTATTCGAACAACGAATTATCTAAATTAATGAAACGTTCACATTTATTCCTTTAACGGAATAAAAGGTTACAGTTTGATTAGATAACTCTACATGTTTAGTTGTTTTCGAAATTTTTCGTTTTGACCTAGCTTATATAATACTTTCCTCGATACAGCCAGAAAATTTAGATGTATTTTTTTTAATTATATATATAGAAACGTTGTCATAAATGACCACTATTTTTTTTAACAAACTTCTTAATTTATTTTATTATTTTTGACGGTTTGCACATCATTTCAAATCGATGTAATTTATTTCATTTTCTATAATGTAAAAATAACAATAAAATCCTATAGTTGCCAGTTTTAATTATTTATTATGTAATTTCTTCTTTTTTTAAATCCATATAAATTGAGTAGGGAATAAAATTTATATAGAATTTAATATAACATTATTATTATATTTTAATATATTCTGTCGACAATATGAACAATAGAGAATTATCGATGCTTCTTAGCATAAACAGTTATAAAATAAACCCAAATTAAAAGCTTACGAATATTCAATATTTTGATCAATGAATACTAATATTAATTTCTGAAATCAAAATAATGTTGTCTTACGTTACTTAACTATTTTCAATTTGTTTGCAGGTTAAGGTAGTTAAATTCAGTTATATGTGGACCATTAATAACTTTAGTTTTTGCCGGGAAGAAATGGGCGAAGTGTTAAAGTCTTCAACATTCTCAGCGGGCGCGAACGACAAATTAAAGTGGTAAGGAAAATCAGATTTGAATTGATTTAAAACAAAAACACAACATTGTCCAAAACTAATTTTTTTGCTCACATATTTATTTTTATCAATTTAACGTATATTGACAACTTGAATCATTTTTGAAAAACATCAATTAATGATACTTCTCTATCTCAAAGCAAAATTTTATGCAGCGTTTTTAAATATTTAATCATGAGAAAAATCAAATTAAGAAAATCACTATAAATTTTACTTCAGGTGTCTACGTGTAAATCCAAAAGGGCTAGATGAAGAAAGTAAAGACTACCTCTCACTGTATTTACTACTTGTATCCTGTAACAAATCTGAAGTTCGGGCCAAATTTAAATTCTCGATTTTAAATGCAAAACGCGAAGAGACCAAAGCAATGGAATCACAGCGGGCTTACAGATTTGTCCAGGGTAAAGATTGGGGATTTAAGAAATTCATCAGGCGAGATTTTTTACTCGATGAAGCAAATGGTCTGCTGCCCGAGGACAAATTGACCATATTTTGTGAAGTAAGTAACTAATAGAAATTTATTTGATAAGAAAAATATATTTTTCATGTTATTAATTATGTTATTTCTTTGATCTATGTGATCTTAAGATCATAAAGTCTTGGTTTAAATAATATAAGCATTTCGAAGGCATCAAAGTTCAGAAGTTCTTTTTTGCGAACTGTTTTGTCTTTGTGATATAAACTTTATTAATTACTCCATATTTTGTGTTTTATTGTGGATCGTAACATTTTAATATAGAAAATGATAAATTTTAGTTTGACATTTATTTATAAGTGAATTTAGGAAGTAAAAGATTTTAGTAAAATAGCATTTGCATTTTATTAAAAATTCTGTTTCAGTCAGTTACAATATTTTTTAGGTATCCGTTGTCGCAGATAGTGTTAATATATCAGGGCAAAGTAATATAATACAGTTCAAAGTACCAGAATGCAGATTATCTGAAGACCTGGGCCAACTATTTGATAATGAGAAGTTTAGTGATGTTACGCTTTCTGTTTCTGGCCGGGAATTCCAAGCACATAAAGCGATACTTGCAGGTAAAAATGGTTTTGGAATCGAATCTTAAGTTGAAACAGACACTTCACTCTTCATTGAAATTTTGATGAACATAGTTTTAGCTAATATGTTTAAGAGATGTATGCCATTTCAATGATTTTTTTTTATTTCCAGCACGGAGTCCTGTTTTTGCTGCAATGTTTGAACATGAAATGGAAGAACGTAAACATAATCGTGTGGACATAACTGATGTTGATCATGAAGTTCTGAAGGAAATGCTTAGGTTTATATATACAGGGAAAGCTCCAAATTTAGATAAAATGGCAGACGATTTACTTGCCGCTGCTGATAAGGTAACTTTTATAAAGTAACTATATATTTCACTACATTCATTTTAGGAGTTTTGAGAAATGATCATATTTTACGTAATACCTTAAATTACAAGTAATCAAGTGACATAAAGAAACATTCTCATTCATAATGCAATTTTCAAAATTTTCAATCCCGAAAATTGGCATTAGCACTGTAACACATTAATTAATTTTACAATATGTTATTTGATATGTGTACTCATATTTGTTGTTATTTATCTTACAATTTTTAATTAACATTGCTTCTAATGAATCAATTTTATAATACCACTCTTTTATGCCATTTGTTTGTTTATTATTTAGTATGCATTGGAAAAGCTGAAAGTCATGTGCGAGGAAGCATTATGCATGAACTTGTCTGTGGATACTGCAGCAGAAACCTTAATTTTAGCTGATCTTCACAGTGCAGACCAACTTAAAGCACAAACAATTGATTTTATCAACACGTAAGTATTTTCTTCTTGTTCAATAATAACTATTTTGCCATCACTTGGTTTGAAATGAGTATTTTCTTTAACCTTTGTAATCATTTTGTTTGTGTTTTTCAGCAGTCATGCCACGGATGTCATGGACACTCCTGGATGGAAAAGTATGATCGGGACTCATCCTCATTTAATTGCTGAGGCTTTTAGAGCCCTTGCTACGCAACAGATTCCTCCTATAGGTACGGTACAGGCACAGGCACAGGAACAAAAACCAATTTCTTGGCCTGGATTCTTGTTATAGACTTTTGTTAATTGTAAACATTTTTTGCAGTTTTTTTTTTGTTCTTTTCATAGTCTTTATAATAATTTTGTACTGTTACGGCATTTTGTGATAAATAAAAAATATGATTGTAAAATATAATAGAAAATTCATATTTACTTTTTTGTTTTAATCCTTAATTGAAAGTACTTTATTTCTCGACATGAAATGCCAGACATTGCCAACTTGCCACTTTTAGACTAGCCTTTAGTTTGTTTTAATGAAAATGTGATAGGCAAAGAATTGATATAATGCAAATTTTATGATTAGGTCCTCCAAGGAAACGTGTGAAACAAAGTATAAGCTGAAACAACAGATTGGTTTCGTCCCAGCATATGCCATCTTCTGCTCCATGCTCTCCGAGTCGACCAAATATATCAGGGCTATGATAAGTATCTTGTAGCAGACGATGGCTAAGGCATAGTCCCTTGTGGACGAACAGACTGTTGTGTAACAAATCGTGATTTCCCATGTTGTAACTTATAATTTTGAACTCATTTTTGCTGAATAGCAGTGTTAAGTGTTTAATCTCAAAATGTTGAAGTGCACATTTCTATTGTTGATAAATATATAAAAATATTTCATAAATTTATGATTAAAAAATGTGATGTTTAAATAATGTGTGAATTTATATCATAACTCATTATGGTTAGTCACATGATAAGTGAGTCACACCTCATTGAATTGAAAAAGATAGGACTATTTAAAAAACAGCTTGGCAAAGCCGAAGCATCTAATGTTTTAAGATTTATCATAATGTCTATGTTGTAGAATAATTATTCTAGATTTAAAAATTTGGAATATTATATACTCTTAATAAACTGTGCTTAGTTGAAATAAATCCAATTTTAGCACAGGTGTGTCCTAAAAAGCATTGAGTGATCCTGTCTGTGTTAGTCGCAGAAATCATGCCCACCACAATCATCTTAGTTTTTACTATTATTTTCGTTTCATGTTTAAAAAAGTATTATCAATAATTTAACAAGGAATCATACTATATATCAAAGAAAATTTATTGTATTGATCTCTGTTATTCTCAGCACACGGTGGAATAGATTCATCAAATTTGTCATGTCTAACAAAATTGTTTTTACTGTTAAGTATATTATTTGGAAAATAACTGGAATAAAATATCATTCAGATAATTGTTTCTCGCAAATAAAACCCCATTGTCATTTTATGTATACTGTGTCTTAGGAAAATATTTAATTAGTATAAATTCTTTTGAAATGTTAGACAATGTGGTCAATTAAAATATTGAATTATCATAATTACTACATATTATTCAAGTATTAGATTTGAAACTTTTGCTGAAATTAAGGTTTTATAAAAAATTTGGTTCAGTTAAAGGCAAAATATGTAAAATGACTTAAAATTTGATTGATGTATCGTAGTCTGGAACTACGCTCCTTGTATTAGCGAGAATTAATTGAAATTGAGTGTGCAGGGCACACTGTATAAGTCTGCTGCTATACATATGAACGTTGTAGTTTCAGTACCAAAATTATTTTAAATTGTATGTAAAAACTCCTATTAATATTTATTATAAAAAATTGTGTATAATGCTTTTTGTTTGATATTTTTGCTTAGATATCTTGTTAATTTTGTATCAAATACATATATATATATATATATATATATATATATATATATATATATATATATATTTATATACATACACATATAAATTGTAAATATCAGAAAACCTTTGTTAAATAAATATATTTCATTTGTATGCGATTTGCAAATTTCACACATTTTATGTATAAAGCATATGTGCTCTGGCCTAATATGTTTATTTATTGTTGGCAAAAATTTAGTTCTATTATTTGATAAAATAAATTTGTGATGATGATGATGGTCATCACCAATGAAGGAAACCTATGATCCAGCATGAAATATGCTAAATGTACTATAATATGTAAATATCAACAAGACTTTGATTATGTAGATTCAGTTTTACTACAAGTATAGTACAATGCAAATTTCATGACAGTTATTTCAATGTAATATAAATATTGCCATACATTTTACTGTGATACCTCATTTAATTTTATCTGCTTCATTAATATTTTTATGAGCTCACATTTTAGAAGTTACATTACACTCATACACATCTCAGCATAGTAAATAGGTAATAAAAGTCTTGTTAATTATAATCCTGTCAGTGCTTAAATTTAATGTTAAATTGGTTTTTATTCAATATCTTAAATTTCGCCATGTATTTGTAATATATTTGTTTACTACATGTAACTACATTTCATCTAATATAAATTGAATATGATTATAGTGTATTTTATTATGCTACTGTATATGTTTATTTCAATTTTGATCTAGAAATCGATTGTACAACATCGATTGCAGGAAGTTTTGTCAATATGGGCTCATGTAAATCCAATTGTGATAAAGTTTATGATTATCAAAAATATATTTTTGTAATTAATGTTTGGCTGTTAAACCTATGCTGCAATTTGTTAACATTTCTTTTTTATTTTTAGAGCTAACTATTGATACTTTTATTCTTTATGCCTTAATGTTTTTTATATAAAGTTGCGTGAATTCATATAGCAAAATTATTTTTTAGCTTCTTGTTGGTAGGCGTGGTTTATCGCGGTGAGCCAATCTAAAAAACTAATTTAAATAAAAAATTTTGTTTTCTGCGAATTTAATTTCACATCATTCGTATTCAACTAATAATAAAATAGCTAAAGCGTTTTAACTTTAAAAATAAGATTCAAAATTTTGATATATTTTGAATGAAAATCTAAGAGCGCCATCTTCTGAGTTTTCACTGCAGTTATTGTTAATTCCGGTTAAATCAAATACCCATATAAATATGGCACAGTGTTTTGCCTAAAGTTTTGTTTTGCACTAGTAATAAGTATTGCAGTGAATGATTTCGTGTGTTTCTTCAACTTCTTGTGTGTTTAGTATTTCGACGTTTAGAGATTCGACAGATCCTAATATATTAAAAAAGTGAGTAGTTTTATTACATTATTATATATTTATTTTATCAAAACCATGTTTCATTGATATTTGCTAGCTGACGATAAACCTAACCCCATTATGCACCGTAACAGAAGATACTAATTAAAATATATCCAATATGATTATTTTATAAAATATGATTAGTCAGTTTGTTCTATAAATACTGTGCAAAATTTATTATTTTCTGTTTGTTAATCGATTTCTTTATATTAATATCTCTGTTTTTGCCATTGACTGTTACTGCATTTGGCAGTTGTTGAATTCTTGTTTATATCTAATAGATACATGCTTTATAAACCTAAAAGGATCTAACGTAAAGTATGAGAAATTATTATCACGATTGCCACAGGATGTTCTGTGAATAATTTTATTAATAAAATCAATTGTTTATTATGAACAAGAACGTATATTTCATGTTGTCTTTAGCATACATGAATTTATGAACACATCGTATTCTAATATTGTCTAGGGTCTTTAGCGAGGTTAGGAGTACTTGGAGGCACGAAAAAATGAGAATTTTCAGTATTTTTTTTGTTATTAAACGATGTTTTTTTTTACAAAAATATTAATACGGCATTATTATACAATGTTTTGACTTGAAGTAACAAAAATTTTAGAAAAAAATAATAAATATTCCCAAAGTTATAGCTGTTTTTGTTAACCCTGTTTCAAAAAACGGTCCTGGCGGTGACCATCATAACTCCTTAGAGATTCATCTAAAATCAATCAAATAAAAAAAATATAATAGTTTTATAAATAGATAATCCTGGGCCTGATCGAAGATTTTCTTTTTTTTGCAAAAAATAACAAAATGGCAGCATCAGAAAAAAATTTTCTAGATTTTTGGGTGAAAAATCAACAGTTCATTGGTCTTAAAAAATAGAAATTTTTAAAAAAATAAAAATCCTTCGATGAGGCCCGAGTTTATTATGTATTCTAAAAGCTGTATAAATTTCATTAAAATTTACTAAGCGGTTTTTGAGTTACAGTGGTCACCGGTTCAGAAAACATAGTTTTGAGAAAAACGCGTTTAAAGTTTCACATTGGATTTACGTACAGAAATTCGAATTATTGAATTACTTAAACCGAGTCATCTATTTCTGGGCCATATAATAGTTCATCAGTCATTGTTCAAGTTTCCAAAACTCCCATTCGCTGTTGCCTACGAAGCATTCTGGCCCCCCGAACGTTCGCGTTGACGTTCCAATTTTTCAGCATACCAATGGGAATTATACCCACAATTAGGTCCTAGGGTATCCATAATCAATAATAATGATTATGTATATGTATTCAGCAATTTGTACGATAGTAGAACTAGTATTCACGGTTTTTAGGCATATTTTTTAAACTAGTTTGTTGAAGCTTTTAATTTTTTTTGATTATGGATTCAATCTTGAACTACACATTTTGAAAGTAATTTATCATTGCTGAGATCGTCGTAAATCGGTTTAAAAGCTTTTAAAACATCAGGAGATGAGAAAGAAAAATCTTGAGTATAGGTATCGAGCTCTCCACTTGCGTCAACGCGCTGGTAAAAGTCCAATAACTCAAAAAGTAATCATCGGATCAACTTGGAATTTTCAGAGAACTTTTGCAAGATATTACACTTAATGAAAATGCAAAAAAATAAAAATCGATTTTTCAAAAATTCCAAGTACCCCTAACCCTCGTGAGCCATAAAGGAGGGGGGGGGGGTTTGACAAAAAATAGGTATACTTGATTTTTTGAATGAGAAAATAATTTGTTATGCGCAATTACATTTTAATGAATACACATAAAATATTAAACATAGTTATAACATTTTAATGTCATATCTAAATATGGACGAAAATCTGATATTTATGTTCAACTGATTGATAGTCTAGACTTAACTTAAGTTGAATAATTTCAGTATTTGCTTTAAATGATTTAATATTTCAATATTTAATAGAAATAATGTCAATGACTCTCATATATGATTTATTATATAAGGCTGATTTGATATGGATTTATTTTCATTTTTTGGGAATGTGAAAAGCATGCTTTCCACATTTTTAACTTCCATAGAGTAGTTATATGGGCCGAAAATCGAAAATGAAAATTTTCACATTTCTCGACGTTTTGAAGGTTTCTGAACATTTTGGCATACCTCAGGAAAAAATGGATGTGTGTGTGTTTTGTATGTCCGCATTTTTTTGTCGACGTTTTCGGGCGCACGGATAAACCGATTTGAATGGTTCAAGAAACATTCGATTTCTATTGATAGGGAGATGTGCTGATTAGTTTTTGGCAAAGGTAGGTTCAGCCGTTACGGAGATACGGAGCAAAGAGTGCAGAAAATACAAATCGAGTTTTTGAGAGAACGGAGTATCCGATTTGAATCATCTAAAAAACTTTCAATTTGTAATGATAGGGAGTTGTGCTGATTAGTTTTTGGCAAAGGCAGGTCCAGCCATTTCAAAGATACAGAGCTAAATGTGCAAAAATTGCAGTTTTTGAGAAAACTAAGCGTCCGATTTGAATGATTCAAAGAACTTTCTGCTTGTTTCAACGAAATAATTGCTCTTGAAAAAAAATTTTGTTCCAAATTTTTTAAAAAAATTTTTTTTTCAAAAAAAATTTTTTTTTGTATATCTAAAATAATCCAGATTTTAATTGTAATTCTAACTTAAGTTCTATTATACTTTAAACAAATATTTTGAACTTCGTCTAATATTTATATTAGAATTATATAAACTGAATTACAAAGTTACAATATTTATAATAATCTATTTGAAAACATTTAATATTCCTCGAACATTTCGTTACGGTACGGGAAGTTCCAGCAATTTGCCTTAAGGCACGATGCCATACACCTTTTTCTTATATTTTAGTAGAAGTGGTTTATTATCGCGGTAAGCATGGCCAATTTAAAAAATCAATTTTTTTATTTATTATATTTAGTATCTCTGATAAAAATATTCGTTTTCCGTAAATTTTCAGTATCAATTAATTAGGTAATAAAACAGCTAAAGCTTTTTGACTTTCAAAATAAGATTCAAAATTTTGTTTTATTTCAAGTGAAAATATAAGAGTGCCATCTCATGAGTTTTCACTAACGTTATGGTATTGCGTTAATACCGGTAAATACAAATATCGATATAAATATTAAATTGTTTTCTTTTGTACAGAAAGGTTTCGTTAAAACAGTAAATGATTTCGTGTATTTTTATCGTTCTTGTGTGTTTAATAATTCGACATTTAGAGATTCGACAGATCCTAATATAATAGAAGAGTGAGTAGTTTTATTACATTATTATATATTTATTATATCAAAACCATGTTTCATTGATATTTGTTGTTAGCTGACGATAACCTAACCCCATTATACACCACATGAGAAGATACTTATTGTAATTAAAATATATTCAATATGATTATTTTATTAAACATGCTTAATCAGTTTTTTTTATAAATACCGTGCAAAATTTATTACTTTCTGTTTTTGGATTGATTTCTTTATATCATTTTTTATACTTTTTATACTTGGTTCATTGACTGTTACCGCTATAGGCAGCCTAGACAATATAATAATAAATATAATAAATGATAGGCAGTTGCTAAATTTATTTTATTTCCTAGCTGGAAAGAGGAAAGAAAACGGGTATCTGGTTTATATCTAATAGCAAAATACTATATAAACATAAAATGATCTATATCAAAGTAAAACATGAGAAATTGTAATCATGATTGCCACGGGTTGTCTGTTTACTCAATATGTTACTTGTAGATGTTCGATCAATGTCATTCGAATGAACTTAATCATTATGTTTATTATGAACAATGAAACTACTTCGGTATATTCTATTTTATCTTTATGGTGATTGGAATAGTCTTGCTTATAATTAGTATTAGAAATTAGAGTAATTGAGTGCTCTTGAATATGAATCTTCATTATCTATTGTAGGAAGATCATATAGACAATAAAATGAACTGCAGATACAACTACTAACAATAATTGGTATACAAAATCTACTAATAAGTGGTAGATTAAAAATTAGATTACTATGAGAATTAAAATGCAATTTACAATGCCCTGCAACATTTTAATTAATCCACATAGAATCTTAAACATAGTAGTTAATATTTTTGTTGTCCTATCTATATATGGAATTTCCTTCCTCATATACAACTGATTGAAAATCTTGTACTAACTTTTATATTGAGTATTTTCTGTATTTTCAAGTATTCAATATTCAATTAAAATAATGTCTAACAATGATTCACTTGTATGATTAATTAATGGCATTACATTGAAACTGAGGTTGCTTCGATATAAATTTAGTTCCTTTGGTATGTGGAAAATATTTTCTACTTTTATAATTTATTTGTATAAATATAATTTTTTTAAATTGTATTTTATATAAATTAGAGTATAGTTTGATAAATAATCATGACATAACAAAGTTAGTAATGAGAAGTTAGCAGAATTGTTAAGATATTGTTTTAATTATCAATTATGTGTACAAATTTATTTTTCTTTTCTTATATACTAAATATTTCATACAAAATAAACAGTTAACAAATTTTCCTTTCAAAATTATTATTCCTTGACCATTCTCTTTCCTTGGAAGGATTTAATACAAAATATACAGTTAATAAATCTGGCTTTCGAATTTATTATTCATTGACCATTCTCTTCCCTCTATGTTTAGCTCGTTTGCTGTGCAGTTTCATTCTCTGGTTTTTCATTTTGGAAGATTTTTTCTTATTTTTCTGCCTTTCTAGTTTATTCTTGAGCTGAAATGCTTTACTCTTTTGGACAGTTTTAGTAGCTTTTTTCCGAATTTCCCTCTTTATATCCTTCTTTGTAGTCAAAGTAACATTCTTAGGTTCAATTGATTTTTGGATGGGCTTAGGTTTAGATTTTAGTTCCATTCCTGGCACCTCTTCTGGAGTTTCTTCTTCATCTTCATCTTTGCTTTCTTCATCATCATCATTATTTTCATATCGTGGGAAATTAGATCCAATCCAATTATTACTCTTAGCTATCTTGTCAACTGATAATTCAACAACCTGCAAAAGTAATAAATGATCCATAAATTGATAAATGGGTTCAAATTTACAGAAGTCTTATCAGCAATATTTATATTTTGACTTGAATAATACGATTTATGTCTGATTTATACTGATAGGTATTGCTTTTCACAAAGTGGCCACATTTAACACTTAACGGACGTTTCCTTAGTTTTACGTGTTTCAGTTCTAACCACCTAGGACAGACCATGCAGATCTATGTCTTTTTTATAAATGTTTAGTTAGTTGCAATAAGGCTTTTTTATGTTACCTTTTTCTTCCTCATACTATTATTTATAGTACAACCTGAAAACTGGCTAGAAACTATGTTAGGCAGAACAGAATTAACCTGTCCATTAAGTGTTAAGAGTGTGGCTCAGCTAGCCAAATTGTTTATTATTCTTATAGTTCTTTTTTATCATTTGTATTCATTTAGTGATCAATAAGTAAATAGGTTGATGATAAGAATTAAATATTAAGCTATACCTTCACAGAAACATCTTCAGTTTCATATTCTTTCTCGAGCAATTCTTCTAGTTCTGGAATAGGCCTATGCGAAACAACTAATTTCTTGTAAGACTCTCTTGCTTCCTGTTTTAGTCTTTTTCTTTCATCTTTTAATAGTTGTTGTAATTCTTCTTGAGCTTTCTTTTTTCGCTGTAACTTTCTTTTATGAAATCCTTGTAAAAACTCTCTGAAATAACATAAGTCTGAATAAAATGTTTACCGGTAGATTTTTGCTAATTTGATACAGAAACTTACCTGCGTTTTTCTTCGTTAAAAACTAAATTTACTTTTCGTCTAGGTTTTCCAGTTTTCTTGTCCTTAGCCATTTTAGTTCGAGTGCTCGAGCATTTTACTTACAAATTTTCAACTCAAATGTGACATAAACATAACCTTAAAATAGCTCAATGCGTTTACACGTGTTAAGTTGGCAACGAATGTAGAAACAGAAACATTTGAAAAAAAAAACAGTTTAATTTGAAATTTGTTATTTTAAAATAAATATAGATACAGTAGAATCCTCTTAAGACGATCAGGCTTGATAGATTTCCTGCATAATACATCAGTATATGCAGCTTTCTAAAATATGTTTTCCGGATGAGACCTGTTTTTAGCTCGATTCCTGGAAAATCGTCTTAACGGCGTGTAATATTTACTAGTATAATATTATTTTATTTAGGACAAAACATGGTTTTTGCTATGCGACTAGTATGGTTTTCATTTCACTTTTCTTGTAAGTTGAATGTTTAATTTCTTTATTTCTTTAACATATTATATCACAGTAAAAGTAAATGTAAACTAGTTGTGTATGGCATCGTGCCGTAAGGCAAATTGCTGGAACTTCCCGTACCGTAACGAAATGTTCGAGGAATATTACATGTTTTGAAATAGATTATTATAAATATTGTAACATTGTCTAATATTTCTAAGAATTGTATAAATAGAATTACGAAGTTGAAATTATTTGTTTAAAGTATATTAGAACTTTGGTCAGAGTTAAAATTAAAATCTGAACTATTTTTGATATACAAAACCATTTTTTTTAAAGGAAATTTTGAAATAAAAAAAGATTTTTTTTCCAAAAGCAATTATTTTGTCAAAACAAGCAGAAAGTTTTTATGAATCATTCAAATCGGATACTTAGTTCTCTCTAAAACTGCCATTTTTTGCACAATTAGCTCGGTATCTCCAAAACGGCTGGACCTGCGCCTGCCAAAAACTAAACACCACTTTTCCTAATTTGTACTAATTAGTATAATATGTTTTTGGATCATTCAAATCGGATACTCTATTCTCTCAAAACCTCGATTACTATTTTCTGCACTCTTTGCTCCGTATCACCATAACGGCTGGACCTGCCTTTGCTAAAAACTAATCAGCACATCTCCTTATCAATAGGAATCGTTTTTTTTTGTGAACCATTCAAATCGGTTGATCCGTGCTCCCGAAAACGTGGACGAAAATTTGTATCCATACATTTTTTTCCACACGCATCTATTTTTAACTTCCCGTAGGGTAAGTTATAGTAATCGCAAAAAAATCGAAAATGAAAATTTTTGCATTTCTCGACGTTTCAAAACCTTCTGAACATTTTGGCATACCTTAGAAAAAATGGATGTATGTGTGTGTGTGTGTGTGTGTGTGTGTGTGTATGTATGTATGTATGTATGTATGTGTGTGTATGTATGTGCGGATACAAATTTTCGTCGACGATTTCGGGAACACGGATCAACCGATTTGAATAATTCAAAAAACATTCGATTCGTATTGATAAGGAGACGTGCTGATTAGTTTTTGGCAAAGGCAGGTCTAGCCGTTCCGAAGATACGGGGCAAAAAGTGCCAAGAACGGTACCTCCGTTTTCAAGAGAACGGAGCGTCCGATTTGAATAATTCAAAAAACATTTTACTTGTACTGACAAGATGTAGAATTGATCAAATTTTCATGGAGGCAGGTCTAGCGGTTTCGGAGATCTAATGAAAAAAGTAAAAAATAATGCCATTCGGCGGTTAAAAATTATCATTAGACATATGCACATCAAATTATCAGATATTTTATAGAGATTTTAACAATAAGTATATTTTTTTTTACATTTTTATGGGTTCCGTACCAATGCTTATGCGTTAGACGGCGGCGCGGCGCTTACGCGCTTTGACATTTCGTCTCTATGCAGTTCAAGCAGTGCGATTGCTTTGAAAAAAAGTTCAGAATTTCCAAAATATGTCAAAATGAAGAAAACATTTTTTTCAAAAAAATTTTTTGTATCCAAAAAAAAAATTTTTTTTCAAAAAAAAATTTTTTTTTTCATATAATTTTTTTTTCAAAAAAAGTAATTTTTTGTCAAATTTGTAGTTTCTCAAATCTATCTTTTTTAATTAAATTTTTTTCAAAAATGTTAATCGTTTTTAAAAAAATAATAATTTTTGGTACGGGAAGTTCCAGCAATTTGCCTTAAGGCACGATGCCCTAATTGCCTTAAGACAGAATTCCACTTACAGCTAGTTTTTCTGAGGTATGCCAAAATGTTCAGAAACCTTCAAAACGTGAAGATATGCAAAAATTTTCATTTTCGATTTTTGGCCCATTATTATAACTACTGGAAGTTAATAACATCTCAAATTCTGAATTATCTTGGTTGTACTTCTGTTATTGATGAAACATTAAGAATAACTACACGAATGTAATAATAAATGGTTTTATTACATATAAAATACATAAGTATATAAAAGTTTGTATAATCTTATAAATTCAGAAAACCAAACACTAAATGATTTCTGATTATTAAATAATAATTTCTATCTTGATTAGGTCGAAGGTTCGTTTTGTAATACAAAATTTCTGATAAATTATAAAACATTTACCAAAACATTTTCTAACACCAAAACTATTACTAAATTATACCATGCATTTCTTTCCCTATGAATATTTTCAAATTTTCGTTACTATATATTAATTTATATATTTATAGTGTAAAAGATTTTTTTCGTACCCTACGTATATATATTTAATGTCTTTTGATTGCTGAGCCCGGCGTTTTTAAAACAATACATAAAATGATCTGAAAATGATGGGAATGACTGGTAACTTAGAAGACTTACATTTATTAACATTGAGCAAATATTTATAACAAAAAATGAATATTAATATATAAGTAAAATATTATAAATTGCGAATTAAATTACCTTTGAAGTTGGTTTAAATTTTTGGTTTGTTTATTGGCTATCTAATTATCTTATTGTTAGAGAATTTTGATAATAATTATTATTAGCTTTGGATAATAATTATTATAATAATTTTTATTTTATTACGATATAGTTTCCATCCCAGTTAGGAAAATGGGCGCCAGTCGGGCAATTATGAATGGAAATTTTGCTTTCGAATAAAAAAACATTTCATTGGATCTTAAATAATTATCAAGTTATATACTGTTTTTTTATACTCAATTATTTAAATTTATATACTCAATAAGTTAAGCATTTGAGTTACAATTTTCATAAAATACTTAGCTTTCACACATATTGAAAAATATTCATTGCAGAATTTGTGACCTTACTCAAAATAACATAATTTACTGCCGCATTCACGGTAAACGATAAAACAACTGTTGAACTATATACTAAGTATATAATTATAATAAAATGACATAATAGCATAGAAAAATATAACAATAATATTAAAAAATTATGGCTTTTTCGTGACTAATTCAAGACCAATGTATAAAATAAACCAACAAATTATAACTAAACACAATCAATGATACACAATTATTGTACCCATCGTAAATAAAACTTATCCTATTTTGCTGCCGCTTTAAAAATATCAGGTAAATATTGTACTAGATATATATTAATTATTAATTTATATTAATTTTAAAATACATGCTAGACTGGTATCGCATTATATTTTTTTACAAGTATTTCAACCTATAATATTTTTGGTTAGTTATTGTTCTACATATTGTCAACCGAAAAATGTACCTACATTTTGTTTGTACTTAACTGGAATTGATAAGTGCAAATTAAATGTTATTAAAAACTCATGTTGGTAATAGTTTTTTTTTGTTGTACTTGGGAACAAATATTTTTGTTTTTGGTATGCGCTTTTGATATAAATTTTTTATGCTGCAAATATATTTGTTATTTAACAGTTTTTAATTCTTGAAAGGAATAAATTCATATACGAGTAGATTAAGATAGTTTTCTACACTCATGAAACAAATTGAACTTTTTGTTTCTTACTTTTATTTAAAGTTATTTTACAATTGTATAAGGAGTTGTTTTTTTATTTTAATATTTTTCATTAATGTTATCGAAAAAGTCCGGAGCGAAGAAATTGATGTCCATGAGTGTTGATTACTTATTCATAATTTATTATCTAATCATGTTACATGGATTTCAAAAACCTATTTTATCTTTTGCATAAAATTTGTTTCTAATTTAGAATGCTGGCAAAATTAAAAAAAATATTTTGCTATAAGAATTTTTATACACTGTCTTTATCTGTTTTACTGATGACCATTTTTACATTGTGTACAAAAATTGCGTCATTCGATTTGAAAAATCATTATTTTTTATTCACAAATGTTTTGATATCCTTATCTAACATAGCGAAATTTTCGAATAGCTAATAAACAAACTGTACAAAAGACTATAAAATATACCGAAGCTGTGAATTTTTTCGACTCTTATAATATTTCATAAGTGTTGTGCCAATATTTTTTATCGAAACGCTAAAATAAAGCCAATTTTACTTCTTTAGTTCCGGAACGCGTTCTTATCCAAAAAAGAAGATTTTAGATGAAAATCTGTACGTTTGTCGCTATTTTTCTTAGCATCACTGTAATAAGCTAATAAAGTTTAAAACATCTACCAATACTGGAAACCAACATCTGGGAATTTTAGTTCACAACAAATCTGTAATAAAGTTATTAGCCTTGTCGTGAGCCCATTTGGGTAGGGCAATAAACTATGCCAGGGATGAGTAACGTACGGTCTGTGGGCCGCTTTCAGTTCGCCAAAAATTAGAAAAAACAGCAATTCTTTTTAATTTTTTTTCAATACATCAGCTAATTCTTGTTATCAGAAATTATTTTTAGTTCCGGAACACCAAGTCGACAACACCACTGGTCATAATGCGTTGTTAAGCAATTTTCCGATCATGTTTTCTTTAAGGGGTACAACTAGCGTAACCGCCTAAAAAATGTGATTTTTGGGAATTTACATTATTAAAATTTTTCAAAATTTTAGGAATATATTTATACATGTTTTAAGAATACATAGCAAAATTTTTGAAGAAAAAAATTAAATATTTTTTAAGTTATCGTCGATATCCAACGGCGCGACAAAAAAAAGGCCCTTCACTGCTGCAGTGATTCCGGACTTCTACGTGGATAAAATTAAAAAAAAAAATTCTCGTTAAACTAGATAATATTGTCTATAAAATGAACTACGATAAAGAAAAAAATGAAAAATTGGCAAAATGACGGCGTTTTTTAAAAAAAAGTCGAATTTTACCCAAAATTTTGGTCGTTTTTGGACTGCCAAAATTCTATTTTTGATCCGATCAAAAAATCGATAGTTTATTTTACGGAGAACTATATATAGAACATGTAAAAAAAAATTGATTGTAATCGGAACATTTGTTTTTGAGTAATCGCTGCAGCAAATTCAGAAAATGCTGTTTCGAAAAAAACGCGTTTAAAGATTAAATGATCGTTATACTATATACTATATATATGTTCTTTAAATGGCTGTGACTCAAAAACTATTTAAGATATCGATTTAAAATTTTGGTATGTTATTTTTGAAGGTATAACCTATCGAAATATGGAAAAATTGAAAATTCGATTTTTGAAAATTTCACACTAGTTGTGCCCCTTAATAAATTTTGCTACAGCTTGATTTTGGAATGCGAAAGTTATTTTTTTTTTTAAAAAATCATATAGATGACTATTAATTTGTTTTGCATTTATTTATTTTTATTAATCTACGACGGTATACGTTACGTTACATAGGTTCTATTGACGATAAGTTTTATTTTACCGTGAAGATCCAGGTGTATTATTTGGCAACAAGTTTTATTTAGATACAATACGTAACCGTGAGACTTTACTTTACTTAACCTTGATAAATTTATCCCTAAATTTGATGCAAGTTGGCGGATGAATAGCAATAATTCGGTTTCAATAGCGAATATAATGATAATTTTAAACTTCCAATATTTCCTATATTATGAAATCAATACAAAATTCGGCGTGGTAACTACATATTATCTAACACGAACCGACCCATCAAAGTTTGCTCGACAAGTGGTTAGATTGTGAAGGCAGTAGGTTTCCACAAGCAAATACATTTTTGGGGTCTAATTGACGTTTCGTAGCATTGTAGAGGTCCACTCCCACAGCGGAGACGCTCTGCGGGTACCAACGGCTGCGCAGCTTGCCTACGCCGTGGTGGTGGGAGAGTGACCCTCCGGACGCCAGTATTTCGTCCCTGGCACGCGCCTCTAACTCCTCGTAGGCTTCCACTGGGTTGTCCAGACCTGTATAACAAATAGGACATCTGGTTAGTTCAATATTGAAACTAGTGGTGCATGGCATCGTGACTTCAGGCAAATTGCCGGAACTTTCCGTACCAAAAATTAAATTTTTAAAAATATGCAAAAAGAAAATTCTAACTTTAGAAAAATGAGATTTTTGAGAATTTTGGAATTTTTGAAAAAAAATATTTTTATTGAAAAATTTGATTTTTTTTGTATTCTGAAATATTTTGGAACTTGTTTTCAAAGCACTCGCGCTGTATTGGCTGCATAGAGACGGAACATAACGGATAAACCTTTGTACGGAACCCATTGTAATGTAAACTAGCTGTAAGTGAAATTCTGTCTTAAGGCAATTAGGGCATCGTGGCATAAGCGCCGCGTCGCCGTCTAACGCGTAAACATTGGTACGGAACCCATAGGAATGTAAACAAAATTATACTTATTGTTAAAATCTTTATAAAATATCTGATAATTTGATGTGGATATGTCTAATGTTTATCTTTGACCGCCAAATGGCTCATTTTTTACTTTTTCCTCCATATCTCCAAAATCGTTGGACCTGTCTTTCCAAAAATTTGAACAGTTCTTCATTTAGTCAATATAAATAAATTGTTTTTTAAATTATTCAAATCGGAGGCTCCGTTCTCTTAAAAACTGAGTTACCGTTTTTGGCACTTTTTGTCCCATATCTTCGGAACGGCTAGACCTGCCTTCGCCAAAAACTAATCAGCACGTCTCCTTATCAATACAAATCGAATGTTTTTTAAATTATTCAAATCGCTTCATCTGTGTTCCCGAAATCGTCGACGAAAATTTGTTACACACACATACATCCATTTTTTCTAAGATATGCCAAAATGTTCAGAAACTTTGAAACGTAAAGATATATAAAAATTTTCATTTTCGATTTTTTTGCGATTACTATAAATTGTCCTACGGGAAGTAGATATTTCTGTGGCCATTATTTTTGGGCCAGGAAATATGTACAAATTGCAATGAAGAAAATTGTTATATAATAATGGACCCTCCTTTATAAATGATTTTATAGGATTGTACATTGCTAATCTATTTTGTAAGAAAACTAACAAAATTGCACAAGATAAATTTGTCAGATTTTTTAATATTGAACCGTAATTTAAAATAACGAAATCAATTTCAATTATTCTCTGTATAAGCATGACATTAAGTTTGACAATTATGATTTTGAAAATTCAAAAACCGTTCGAAAAATATTGGTTGGGAATCGTGCTAATTAGTTTTTGGTAAAGATTGGCCGGGCCGTTTTCTTGTAATAAAGTTTAAAAAAAAATCGACGATTTTTATTATTATTTTTTGACGGTAGATACCATAGTCTTCTAGATCATACTAAAATTTTACAGCCCTGCGACAAGCTTTAAAAGCTCGTTTAGCTTTAAAAATTCGTCAGTTTGCAAAAATTAGTATCGTACTTTTGGCATTTGTCAAAATTAGACCTTCGATCGACGTTTTCCCAGAAACGCCTGAACCGATTTCAGAAATTGAAAAGTCATTTGATGTATCTCAATGAGGACTATCGTTTGTCAGTTATGTGAGACGATCTGCCAAACCGCGTCTTTGTAATTTGAAAAAAAGTGTTAAACTTTTCGTCCACATTTAAGCTCAAACTACCAAGTCGATTTTAAAAAATCAAAAACTGTTTGAAAGATTAGTTGGGAATGATACTGATTAGTTTTAGGGGAAAATCTACCGAGCCGTTTTCTTGTAATTGTTGAAAAAAGATTTAAGCCGATTTTTATGGAACTTTTTTGGCGATATATATCATGGTCTTATAGAACTTACTGAAATATTACGGCCTTACGACAAGTAGTATAATTTAAAAAAATTATCAAAGTTTGAGAAAATGAGTAGTTTTTTTGACATTTGTTAATATTACAATTAGAGGATTTACTTGGTATAACGATAGTAGTATTCGGTCTTAATGAACATACTAAACCATTAAAGTCCTGCGGAAACTGATTCAATTATATAAATTGTTGATTTTTAATACTCCGAGTTAACGTGTTCGTTCGTTTTCAATTATGTGTAATAGATCCACTCGGAATACTTTTAATCGCTCATAAATTAATTTGTGTATTGTTTAAGTTTGTGTAACTTGCCTCAAGGCAAAATACCAATACCAACTAGTTTATATAGTAATTTTCACACCTGTCCTGAAATGGACAACAAGTACAACTGTAGTCTTACTTAGAAAAAAAGACACGGAAAATACTAAATCTTTTGACTATTGTCAGAGATTTATAAAATTGACTTATGGGAAAATATGTATTTTTTACGTATAACAATTTACCCAGTTAAATACTACAATATACCAATTACAGTTTTAATTCAGTAAGTTTTGATATTTAATTACTAATTATTCAGTGATTCAAAACGTTTTAATAAATATAAAGTTTTTATCTACGAGACAAATGATATTTTAATTATCTGCAATATAAATAAATGGTTTACGTAGTTGCTGCATTCAATCGACATATTAAGCTATTAATTATGTATACATTACACTATTTTTTGAGAAACGTGCGGTCAATTTAAATCTCATAAAAACGAAGAAAACAATTAAATGTATGAAAACATTTGAATATTACAAACTATTATCATTAACTAACGTTTTTATTATTAATTTGTATTTCATAACATCTGGTCAAAGACGACGATGGGTTACTTTTTATAGGCAGTAAAATGAAGTCAAAAACAAATATACTTTTTATAGCGCGTGAAACATCTAATAAATAATCTAATCTACTTTGAATATTGCTTTGTTTGAAATGTTATTCGTGATAGACGATGGATCACTTTTATTAAATGGTTTAAAGTAGAGAAGAAATAAAATCAATTTATAACTGAATATTTGCTGGTAATCACTAATTTATAACAAAATAAATTTAATTATGAATAATCGCAATTATAACTATTGGGCTTGGCATTGTGCCTTAAGGAAAATTGCTGGAACTTCTCGTTGGAATTTTGGAAACATTTGAAAAATTTGAATATTGAAAAAAAAAATGTTTGTTTGAAAATATTGCTTCGACTTGGAAGTTTTTTGAAAACTAAAACTAAATCTTTTTTTTTTTTTTTGAAAATTTTTAAATTTCTTGGAAGTTTTTGATACCGATTCAAATTACAAAATATTTGATTTTCGACCGCCAATTGGCATTTTTTTAAACTTTTTTTTGGATCTCCGAAATTGCAGGACCTGCCTATGCAAAATCTTAATCAATTCTTCATTAAGTCAATACAAGTGGAAAGTTTTTTGAATCATTCAAATCGAATGCTCTCTTATCTCACAAAATGGCAATTAACATTTTCTGCACTCTTTGCTCCGTATCTCCGAAACTGCTTCACCAACTTTTGCCTACGACTAATCAGCACCTCTCCTTATCAATAGGAATCGAATGCTTCTCGAGCAATTCGAATTGGTTGAACGGAGCTCCCAAAAAAGTCGACGAAAGATTGAATCCACACATACATGCATACACACAAATTCATTTATTCTAAGGTATACCAAAATGTTCAGAAACCTTAAAGACGTAAAGATATGCAAAAAATTTCGATTTCGATTTTTGGACGATTGCTATAACTTTTACCCTACGGGAAGTTAAATATAACTAAATACATATATAGACATATATACATATATGCAACGAGGTCTGTATGTATGTATGTAAATATAAAATAAAGAAAATCTCTGAAAAACTTTAACCCTTTCCACTCGCATGCCGTCGCTCCGGCGACATAATACGTATTACTTGGAAATTCAATTACATATGTTAATTTGATTCTTCAATTTTGTGCGAACTTCTCATAGGAAAAGTTCGAAAAAAATATAGATTTTTTTTACACTTTAAAATGATTAATGAAATAATCAATTACAAATGCTGCTAAAAATCCTGTATATGTATTTTAATAACGTGTAAATAAAATTTTTACCTTATTTTCTATCGATTACATCGTAAAATTAGGTGAAAAGTGATGTACAAACGTCTTTAAAAAAAGCATATATATCTTGCCTTGCACAGCTTAATAATATAATTAATTGCGGCCGCTATGGGGCAAGAGTGTCCAAAAATGGTTGTCTACTGCTGATTCTGTATGTACATAGTATTGAATATTAAATATTGATAGCATTAAAAAATGTCACATTGCATCGTAAACTGACGAAAGACGCATAACCGGATCATAAATCGATTTGTATTGCATCAAGCAATGCTCAATGTTCTAGTGATCTAGTGCAATTTACCTTCGAAGTCACACGGCTGATATGCAACATCTGTTACCACGAGATACAGGGATGGCAACAAAGAAAATGATTATTTTTAAAATAATTGTCAACATAAGAATATCGAGTTTTATAAAATCAGAATGTTTTATGTTTATTGTTTTTAGTCATCTCTTAAAAGTACATAAGCAAAAATTATGTTGCAGGGGAAAATATAAAAGATCAGAAAGTATCGATTCAATTAAGAATTCAGTTAATTTTTTTTTTTTTTTTTTTTTTTCAATTCAGTTGATTAATGATATATGAGCGAAATATAGAGAATCGCAAGCAAAGACAAGGGTTTTGATGGCATAGAACAAAATTTTGGTAAATTTTAATAATTATCAGAAAGAGTATAGTAGTTGGCTTAACAATCTCTCTTTGGGCAGAACAATTATTAAAATTATTTTTATTAATATTATATGAAATTAGTGAATGCTTAGTTAAACTTGAATTCCTCTGAAATACGTATTTTCAATTTATTCATAGGTAATTAATAATACATTTTTTTGTGGGATCTTAGATTTTAACACAGTGGTTTCCAATTTTTTTGCTCCGCGCCTCCCCGCTCTAATAGAAAAAAATTGTTGTACCCCCCTTAATTTTTCCAATTTAATTTAATTTTGTAAATATTGATATTATCAGACTACAAATTATTATGTATTCTGTAAAAATATGCATAAAAACTAATTATTTTTTGTTTATTTTTCAATATCGTTCCGAAAATATTGGGTTATTTTCGATAGTATTCTGGAAACAGATATATGCGCCCCATAGGTTGGAAATCTCTGTTTTAACAGAATCATGAAAATTATGTATATATATATATATATATATATTTATTTATTTATTTATTTATTGACCCTTTCCACTCGCGAATTGCGAGATTTATATGAATTTTCGGCGTCCGAGTCGAAAGAGTTAAAGAACTGTTTATTCTTACACTTACACTTCTTAAACTATGAGTCGCGACCCCTCATTTTATAACATCACGTCTAAATTTTTTCACAACGAATTCTAAAACTATATATTGATATATATATATATATATATATATATATATATATATATGCATGTTGTTTTCTAACAAAAATTATATAAAAATCATAATTTCTCTTTCTTTAATATTTGGGTTCTTTTTTATTCTTTTATAATGGGGTCGTCATGAAATTTGCAATCATGAATGGGGTCGCGAATGACAAAAGTTTTGAAAACCCTGATTCAATGTCCAAAATGCAACGAGATCTTTTTACTTTCTTCCAAACTAAAACATGCCCCTTTCTTGGTATCTCGTCAATGTGCAAACCATAAAACAATTTTTGCTGTGGACCTTCCTATATGTATGACCACATCTGTGCGACAGAATTTCATTACAACCATTTAGCAAGTGGAGTGAAGTCAAAATTTTGAAATATTCTTAAATAATTTTTTTTACAAGTAGTGCTTTTGACAAAAAATGAGTGATATGGATTTATAGATCATTATTGCAGGTAATTTTTGCTTCACAATTTCTTAGATTTTTATACGTATTTTTTTCTTTTTGAAAAAAAGGCACATATGATCCATTCCTTCATAAGTTTTTTTTAATATTCTGTAATCATCATTGTTAATATTGTTTTTCATAAAAAAAAAAATTGGCATGAAAACTTTATGATGGTGCGTATTTAGTTGCGAAACATAGTAAAATAGCATCTACAAAAAACTAATTGTTTCTAATTTATAGAATTGTTGGGGAAAGAAACATATATCAGTTTATTGAAAATTTCAGGGTTTATCTATTATATATATATAATTTTTTATTCATTTAAATTTATTATTTATTTAGAATAACAATTTCGTGAAGCGTTACATGATAATTTATTAAAATAATATTAAATATTCTTAAAGAGTAATAAATTTCTTTTCAAGAACAAACATAATTAGCAAATAATTACACATTGGTGAATTAGTTCATTTCATATTTAACTAAAACTGATGTTAGAATATTATAAAATTTCTGTCATAATCAATTTTTACCTATAAAATGAGTATATTTTTGGAACAAACTGTCGGGTCTCCGGGTTTCTTTACATTTATTTTATTTCTTATAACAAATTCACTATTTTTGAATCATTATCATCATTATGGACGAATTTCTATAAAAAAGCTATTTTAGTCTTTATGTATCGAACTTTCTTAAAATGAGTCTTCAAAAAGCATATACTTAAGCGTCAATGCAGTGTTTAAAAAAAAATAAGAATCAACTAATAATAAAATTATATTTAATTAGTAATTATAAATTTTTACTACATCCTTTGGAAAGCATTTAATATGAAACGAGTTACCGTTACCGATACCAATGATATGATCCTCGTATATAAAAGTTCCATATAATTTTTATCATTGCCCATCCCTATAAAGTCTCCATTAGGTATTGGCGCAAAGTAACGTAATGTAATAGAGATTTAAAAGCTTTTGTAAACTTGAAGGTATTTATGTAATGGCATTGTATAATAGTGATAATTTATTTGGTTAATAGAAATGCGATATGATACTGACCTTTGTGATTGAAAGCGAAGTAGAAATACACGCAGGCACCTGAATCGTATGTCTGCGTGACTCGGCAAGAGATCATCATATGCGTGATGCCTAAATTTGAACATTCCTGAAAAGTGTTAAAATTAAATTATTTTAAAAGTAATAAAATTTGACAATATGATTTATAATGATATTAATTGGTGATAGATTACAGGTAACTGTTTCTGTTTTTATTAAATAATTGTGTTTGTATGCCTTTCTTTAAACTTAATGAACAGACGCCCCTACTCACTACATACACAATCTTTTTTTTTAATTTGTTTTATTTCTTTAATAACTTTCCGTAGAGTAAGTTATAGTAATCGCAAAAAAATGAAAATAAAAGTTTTTGCATATCTTTACGTTTCAGACGTTTCTGAACATTTTGACATACATTAGAAAAAATGAATGTGTGTGTGTGTGCGTGTGTGCAGATATAAATTTTCGTCGACGATTTGGGGAATACGGATCAACCGATTTGAATAATTCAAAAAACATTTCACCTGTATTGACAAAATGAAGAACTGATTAATTTTTTAAGAAGGCTGGTCTAGCGGTTTCGGAGATCGAGTAAAATTAGTAAAAAAAATGCCATTGATGATCATAGAGATTTTTATAATAAGTATGTCTTTTTACATTTCTATGGCACCTGTATCATTGTTTATCCGTAAGACTGCGACGCGGCGCTTTGATATTTCATCTCTACGCAGCTAAAGCAGCGGGATTGCTTTGATGAGAAGTTAAAAATTTTCAAAACATCTCCAAAATAAAAAAATAAAAAATTTTAAGTCAATTTCTTCCAAAAATTTCAAAATTCTCAAAAATCTAATTTTTTCAAAGTTTAAAAAAGTTCTTTTTTAAAAATTTCAAGCTTTGTTATGGGTACGATGCAATACATCACTATTTTTTTTTCTTCATATTTTAACAGCAATCATAACCTTACGTCCTATAAGCTGTTGGGCTGACTTTTCCTTATATCGTACTTTTAGGTGGTAACCCAAGGGTTGATCCTTCCATACTTGATTACATACTTTATTATTAGAATTTATCTAACAGGGCTGCAGCATTGCCCGGAGAAAGGACTATTTCCACTTGGAAACATATTTAAGATCTATTTTCCCAAGTGAAAATTGATATCGATACTGGGTTGTTCTTGACGCGAATTTAACCCGTGATCCACCCCTACATTTTTTTCCCGAATTTTTTCTCAAAATCACAATTTTTGTTCATGAAACAGAACTTGTAAGGCTATAAAAAACTCATAAAGTAGAAGTTTTTTTTGTCAACGAAAGATTTTCCAGATTTCCAAACCTTTGATACAAATTCGACTAATCGAGGTGAACGGAATTGAGAGAAAATCGATACAATGTTATTATTCAGAGATTTTTTTCGTTCAGGAGCATTACTCGCTTTTAGAGCTCTCTACGTTTTACGTTTTTTAATTCAATTATCTCTACCCTTACGTTTTTTAATTCAATTATGAGGACAATTATTTTTGGTGTCACGATTATTATAAAAACATTTATTTGACAAAAACATTTGTATGCTGATTGTAGATACAAAATACATATTTACAGTATGCCTGAAAACATATTTACATTATCAAAGATTTCACTACTTGCATAAGCAACGGTTAATCAAATATTGTTATTAATGACGTTACAATTATGTGTAACTACATATGTATATATATATATATATATATATATATATATATATATATATATATATATTTATATATATATATATATATATATAATATACATATGTAGATATATAATAAGTCAGGTATGGTCAACCTTTTAATTTCTTTTAATTTTACTTAGCGGACGTCTGCCTTTTCCAAAATATAAAGATCTAAGACTAGGATGATTTCATTTTTCTGTATTGAAATTTTTTTGACTTAAAATATAAATTTTATATAACGAATGATAACGAAATATAACGTATAATGGGCCATGTAAACTGTGCAAAAATATTTGGATAACTAGACCAATAAACAATAAAGGTTTAAAATGTATTAAATATTTAAAATTGATAATTTAGTATTAATGAATAAAAATACAGAAATTTAAGCGATATTTTGTAGAGAATGCTAAATAAAATATTATCGAGTAAAATAAAATCATTATATAAAGGATACTCTCTGGATTCATGATAAATATTTTGTTCATTTAAAATTAAATAAATTTAAAAGGATATACCTCTCTGCACTTCAAATTTTTTGTTAAAAACGGGGATATCGATTTAAATTATAAAAATTATAGTACATCATAAAAATTTTATTTACTTGAAGGGATAGTAAATTAATATTCATAAGATAAGATAGACTCATAGGTTTATATGACATAACAAATTATAAATTAATACAACATAATTGGCACCTGTGAGCTTTAAACTCATTATGCGATCGAAATAGAAATTTGATTTGTGCTTTCAGTCATTCATCTGTGTTTCATTGTGTGAAACATGATTAATTATCTATTGATGTTTAAACGAAATGACTCATCATTTATACTAATTGTAAGTTACGAGAATTTTATAAATCTTAATCGTATGTTCATAATGGATTAACCTGCCGTCTATACATTTCATATATTGTAATTCGAATCCAAACATTGAGTATCTCAAAAAGTTCCAAAAGTTTCCTGACTCTTCAGGAAGCGATATTAGATTTTGAATTATTTTGTGGTAATAAACGGTAGTCTTATAACGATTAGTATACCACTTATATATTATTTTTTTATCGGAGTTTTTAGTAGAAATGGCAAGACAAAATTCATAAATCATTTAGAAACACACAATATATTCCATATATTACTAAAAATTGTATTGGCTGCATAACCTGCGATTTGTTTTGAATCTAGAAAGTATTTAAACTAGATCATATCGCAACGTTATAAAAAAAATTACTGCATAATTCAAAGGTAATATGTAACGTACTAGAAATTTCTGGGAATTCTCCATCAATTATAATTGATAAGTAATTATTCATTACAACTGTTTATTAGTTTAGTATTTATTAATTTACTTTTTGTTTCGATATATTCTGGTTTATGATAATTAAAATTAAATCTCTATTAACGGTGTGTGTGTTTATAGATTCGCTTGAGTTATTTTTTCATGACAAGACCAGTATTTTTTAAGCGGTTTGGACAATATATTGCGTATATTGGGTTGTTGTTTTAGCTATTAATCACTTTCTTGCGCACATTAGTCAAGGACAAATTTACACACACTTGGTTTTCATATTATACAGAAAAATGTGGTCTTTGCTAAAATGATTTCTAATAAAATAAAAATAGCGGTATTATGGTAATTCTTACGTGACTCATTTTTATATACGTTGTGAGATCTAAACAAAAAATGATGAAATATTTCTTATTGGTAATTAAATCTACAGTACATGCAATTGCTTCTCGGATAGGAGAATCTAGCAAAAGTCGGTCCAGCCGTTTTGGAGATACGGAGCAAAGAGTGCAGAAAATATAAATCCAGTTTTTGAGAGAACTTTGGAATTTAAATAATCTAAAAAACATTCAATTCGTAATGACGGCGAGAAGTGGTGATTAGATTTTGGCAAAGGCAGGTCTAGCCGTTTAGGAGATACCGAGCTAAATGTGCAAAAAAGTGGCAGTTTTTGAGAGAACTAAGCATCCGATTTGAATGATTTAAAAAACTTTCTGCTTGTGTTGACAAAAAGATTGTTTTTTGGAAAATAATTAATTTCAAATGTTTTATTAACTTCCCGTAGGGCAAGTTATAGTAATCGCAAAAAAATCGAAAATGAAAATTTTTATATATCTTTACGTCTCAAAACCTTCTGAACATTTTGACATAACTTAGAATGCCTTAAAATGTACATCCATTTTTGTGTGTGTGTGTGTTCTGATACAAATTTTCGTCGACGATTTCGGGAACACAAATGAAGCGATTTGAATAATACAAAAAACATTCGATTCGTATTGATAAAGAGACGTGTTGATTAGTTTTTGGCGAAGGCAGGTTTAGCCGTTCCGAAGATATGGGGCAAAAAGTGCTAAAAACGGTAACTCAATTTTTAAGAGAACGGAGCGTCCGATTTGAATAATTCAAAAAACATTTCACTTGTATTAACAAGATGAAGAACTGATCATGATTTTCATGAAGGCAGGTCTAGCGGTTTCGGAGATCTAGTAAAAAAAGTAAAAAAAAGCCATTTGGCGGTCAAAAATGATCATTAGACATATGCACATCAAATTATCAGATATTTTGTAGAGATTTTAACACTAAGTGTAAATTTTGTTTACATTCCTATGGGTTCCGTACCAATGTTTATCCGTCTCTATGAAGTTAAAGCAGTACGGTTGCTTTGAAAAAATGTTCTGAATTTCCAAAATATTTGAAAATAAATTTTTCTTCAAAAAATTTTTTTTTTCAAAAAAAAGTAAATTTTTGTCAAAAATCTAATTTTTTCAGAGTAATTTTTTTTCAAAAATGTTAATCTTTTAAAAAAAATTAGTTTTTGGTACGGGAAGGTCCAGCAATTTGCCTCGAGGCACGATGCCATACAATACTAGTTTTAATTTGAGTTTGAAGCTTTAAACAATAACCTTATACCCAAACCCTAGTAATCCTAGCAGTTATCAAGCGCCTTAATTTTTTTTCCGGAATTTTACTGGAATGCACAACTAATTATGTATCATTGATGATGTGATGTCAGTAGGATGAGTTAAACATCTTCAACCCGTTTACTATATCTTTAAAATGGATTTTTGGCAAGCAATTCCGGACCTCTGACAGTTAATGCGTTCCGCCGGAAGAGTTTGGTGTGAATTAGAAAGCTGATATACAACATCTGGGCATGTCATAGATTTTTGGGAACTTTGATAAATCGTTGGCCCGCTAGAATTCACTTTCAATTTCTGCGGAACGCGAACTGCCCAACGCAGCGTCCTAGGTCACGGATGGAGAAATTATATGCACGCACCTTGCTTTTTTACGTCTTCAATAAAATTCATCGAAAGTGTCATCCGACGATCATCTTATCATGTGACGACTTCGCATAGATTTATTTATTTTCTCTTTTTATAATTTTATAACTATGAT